TATTATATCAGTAAAATGGCTCCACGAGACTTAAATTCAAAGAAGAGGAGGACACTTGTGTATTTGATTTTTTTGATTTAAACTAATTAGGATGTAACAAATAAATTGATTTTTCACGTTTCCTTTTCATTTCTGTAATATTGAATATAAAATTAAGAAAATGATTGAAAATGCTTAGTTTTGTTTTTTCTTTTATTAGGACATGATCAAGTCTTGACCGAGTTGCTCCGGTTAAGTATTTCTATTAATGATGGCAACTACTTTCTTGCTCTTTTTCTTTCTTCTGCCCATTAAATTAGGGGGCGTTGTTTTTTCGTTTATTTCAATTTAGTTGATGCTTGGTTTTCAGTTGTGTAATTTGGTTTTGGGATTTGTTTTCAAGTAAGTTTTTGACCATTGTATTCCTATGTATTAGTTTAGATTTTATACTTTTGTATTTGTTTTTGTATTTTGTATTGTATTTTCTCTACCTGGACTTTTCTTTGGCAAAACCTTTGGGGTACAAAGAGAACAACTTAGACATTTGTCGTGCTCTGTCGATAGAAATGGTTTTGCATTTATGACTTCTGCGGCTGGTATCCCCTGACGAAGTTAGCTTTGGTTGTCGTATTTTTCATTTTTTTCATTATTTATTGTTTTTCTTTATTCTTTTAGTTTTATTTTCCTTTTGGAATTGTGCGTTTTCCCTCTGTAAATGTAGTTTCTAATTGCTTTAATTATTTTGACTTCTCTTCTTATTATGTAATTTTCAAATCTGGTTTTAGCTGCATTTTGCGCTTTTTCTGTTTCGAAAAAATATTTAGAAAACTTATTTAATTGTTTTAAGATTTTTTAAATACTTTTTTAAACTTTTAAGTCTTTAAACGTCATATGGGTTTTGTTCTTTTCCTAGGATTTGATTAATTTTTGTTTAATTGACTCTCTACCTTTCAGGTTAAATTTAATTTTATACAAAGTACTATTAATATTTATTTCATGGCGCATGGCTCGTCGCGCGCCTAAACTAGGAACACTGATGTTATACTTGACTTGGGGATTACTTCGAATAAAAAGATACTAAGTCCAATTTTGTGTTTAAATAAATTAAAAATTTATAAAAAAATTTAAAAAGTTTAGAAAATGTAAAAATAAAAATTGCAAAACTTGTCTTTTAGTTGACAATTCACAAATTGATTGCCATTCCATTGTATTGTTTTGTAAATGTTTTAATATAATTTATTTAATTCAATGTAATTGTTGTAATTTATGTCCTATTGGACAAACTAGTTTAGAATTTCATAAGCGAATTAATCTCACAGATCTGCTATTAAAAATTTTAATAGTAATAATAATGGTACTACAGATTATGAAATTTTATATTTTCAATTTCATGATTTTGATTATGTTGCTCTTTTTATTTTGGATTTTATGGAAAATTTAGATTATGGGCTTGATTAAGAAAATATTTATATTAGCTGTCTTAAAACTCTTTTTTCTTATGGTTTAAATAGTAAATTAAATGGTGAAGGTACTATTAATATTGATGATTTTTGTATTTATGATAAATTTAAAGTTTTTAATTTTCCTAGATAATTTTATTCAAAGTATAGATATAAAAGAGGTAGTGGTAAAGGGGCTAATAAATTTATTGATTTTTATGAATTTTCGAAAATTTGTAATTTTTGTGTTAACCTGAATAATATTTTTATTATTAGGAAATATATTTTTGGATTTAAAAATAAAGTTCTTAAAAATTTCTTTTTAAAAATTTTTAAAAATTTCTTTTTAAAAACTTTTAAAAATTTCTTTTTGATCACTTTGGCTCCTGAAATTCATGAAATTGTGGTACCCTAACTTGACAATGCGTTGTTGTGGGAATGCTTTATTTTTGAGTTACGTAGCATACTAAAATTTGCAAGTTTAAAACTTGTTAAAATAAAAAGTATTATTTAATTTTGATAAACTTACATATCATAAAATCCAATTAACAAAACTGTTCTTTATTAAGAACTGTTTAATTTAAAAAAGAAAAACAACTGCAAAGTTAGAAATATAACTGGGAACGTGGGACAAGATAAATTGTCTGAAGTGATAATTATACCTTAAGTAGCAATTTTTATGATCAGATAACATTAAAAGCTAAATTTTTAAACCTAATTGAAGAGGAAGAAACAGTTTTCAAGTAGTACGCTCTAAAAAATTTAGAATGTTTAGTAAAGCATAACATTATTCAAATTTGCTACAAACACAAATGCGTAACGAAGATGAATCATATTATCATTTAATTACACGATACTATGGTTCAACTTGCGATGAAAAATATTATTAAGATTGCACCAAATTGTGGTTCACATTATCGATATTATGATTCAACATCGTTGAACTTATTTTTCTGAGAGTGCAGAAATATTCCTTTACTTGAATAAAAAAGATTATTTCGGCTGTTTTAACGTTGCATAATTATCATTAATTTTCTTAATATATCAAGAGTGGTTCTTTAAAAACGCCTTTGTTACTGAAAAATGCGCAATTATTGGTAACTCTATTTTTGTTATTGCTTAGCTTTTCAGGTTATGTGTTGGAAACGAGAATCGTGTAATGTTACAGTTGAGTTATTATTAATTTGTGTGACACATTTTTGTTAAAAAGTACGAAAATCACAAAAGACATTTATAAAGAAGTATTTAGTAGTATGAGAGTTTATTAATCCTTCAAAAACATCATACATTTCAAGGACATAGCAAGTTATAAAACTTGGCAACTATTTTCAAAGTGTCCACGAAAACGTTTTCGGTGAAAAGCTACGATTTCCATTTCCGGTTACACATAGTTTTCATTCTTACACCTGTGTTCTACACCCCTCCTCCAAATCACTCAAAAGACGAGTGGCTGGACAGGGCATTGCGATTAGTGTAAGATTGTGGTCTCTGGCTTGCCACATAAATTCCACCAATGTGAGTTTTCTCTTAAAGCAGTTGACTGCACGTACTCGTGAAATTGAAACTGCGAAATAACTGGAAAAAAATATAAGGCAGGAATATAGGACGGAATAATATTTCGGTGTATAGTACTGCCATATAATAGATATTTTAGACATTTCAAGAAATGCATCTCTTTTCAGAAACAATAGTAAGAAACAGGCTGATGGAAGAATGTAATTTTTTGGGGAAATTAGTTGATCACGATATTGTCACAATCCTTTCATTCATCGATGAATAAATGAGAGAGTGCGCTGATATTTCAATTTATTATTTAGCAATTTACATGCATGTAAGGAAGTTAAATCGAAGACATAAAAAAACCCATTTGATTGGTGATCAATTGGTGAACATTCACCATTTAGCCAATTCAGCAATTCATCAATTGATGAACATTGGTAAATTGTTTGTTACTTATGCTTGTGGGGAAACGCTGAGTTAAGGCCTGTTTATACTAAGTTCTTGGAGGAATTTCTCTCTCCAAGAAATCGGATGAATCGTCGTCACTATCCAAGTTCTTGAATGTCATTCATTGGTCGGATGAAAAACCTGCGCATGCGTATTGTTTATACTAAGCATTATAAAATCGTGCTTACAAAAATTCGAAGTTACTAAATAAATTCAAATAAAATTATACTAATTCAAATATACCCAAACAGATTAATTTGGATTAAAATATATGAAAATGGACCACAAAATGGCATAATATGATGTCTGCTTGTTGAGTCCACAATACTTGATTGGTTATGGTAGGAATAACTTGGATGGAAAGTAGAACATGCTCTACTATCATCCAAGGGCTTGAGCTAAGAACTTGGACGATAGTTTACACGATTCAAGCTACAAACAAAACAAGTTTCCAACAATTTCAATCAATTTCGTCCAAGATTTTGATTGTATAAACTGATCTTTGCTCAGCCATCGGACATGAAAATAACCGATTTAAACACTTGATGAGTTTCAAGTAACTTGATACTTATGGTAAAATGCCGAGTCAATCAAACATCGAACATGAAAAGTAACCGAATCAATCACTTGCTGAGTTACAAGCTATTTAATTCTTGGAGTCGAACGTGGAGTTAGCAAAATTAAACAATTAAGGCTTTTAAAATTCAGAAAACTGTTCTTTCAACATTTTCTTCTGAAATATGAGGTTGATGAGTCTCCTCTTTTGTATGGTTTTTACTCCTTTTATATTCTGATGTGAGGAACGCTGAAATAAAAAAAAATGATAGCTATATTATTTAGAAATTGTTGTTTGAAAAAAAATTTAAATGTATATTTTTACCTCTTAGAAATTTGATATTATTATTATTACTAATTTTTCATAGACATAATGTAATACTATTATTTAAATTCTTTTTGTTTTACACTATTTACTAACTAGTTATTTGGGGGCTCTTAGAATAAGAGGAAGTGTTCCCAAAGCAGGCTTTAAAATTTTTGTGGAATAAAAATAGATTTTTTGTGTTTTATTTTTCGACTTTTAAACACATCTTCTCCCAAATCCTAATAAACATATTTATGATTGTAATAAATAATTTTTTATAACCCTTATAAGTAACTATTCCCATTCGCCATTAATTTTATGCAATATACACTTAGATATTATTTTTATCTATGTACTTTGCTGATCTAGCTCAACAAGAGTGTATTCAATAATTTCAACTTAATAAATATGTAAGAACTGCATTAAACTAAATCCAAAGGATGGTTACCAGGCCAGTCCTTCTTATCTTTCAAATAACGTCCGACCATTGGCCACAGTCATCAATCTGAACCAGCAATTTAACTTAAATCAGCTTCTAAGTCCAATCCCTAGCTCTGTAACCTCTAGCTTTCCCATTTAACCCAAGTGATACGCATCACTTGGGTTAAATGGGAAGGGCAACTCTTGGGTTAGGAAGCGCTGCCTAACTATTGTTTTTAACAGATTAAAGCGTTCTTAAGTGCATCTGTTTCACTTAATTTTATATATTCTATGTCTTAATCAATTTCCCATTCAGCGACATCAGACAGACGAGTTTTAGTGGGTCTGAAGGGCTGTAGGATTGGGCTCTAGGTGCTCGGAACCGCACACGCGTCTTCGGGGTGACGGCTGTGTGGTTTCCGTGTCCGAGAAGCCTAGGTCGCTCGGACCTCCAGAAGTGATGGGGATGTTGTTTTATGCAGTGGCCAGAAAAAGTAGCAAATCCGCTTCGAAATTCGGCTCGCCACCTGCGGTGCCCAAACATATTTATGCAAATAAGGTTTAAATATGTTTTTCTTGAAACCATGATCAATAGTATAGTTTTTGGCCACCAGGATAAGCAGGTATGAATCTTTGTTTGCCAAGGTATAGTTCTTGATAGATTTTGAAAAAAAAAAGATTTATGTTTGCATAAAGCTTATATAAAGTGCTTGATAAATTTTGGTATACATTTTAAAAAATGGTATAGTATGAAAGAAATATTTTTCGCTGGAATATTGAATCAGGAATGCAGGTTGTGATCACTAAAATGAATTTCAAACCAATAAATTAAATTAAAAAATTTTTTATATAGCAGAGTGCAACAAAAAAGAACTAATGAAATTGTTTAAAAACACATTCGTGACTTTTTGAGTTAATCTAATTTTGAGTTAATTAAAAAGTTATTCAAATAGTTCCCGAGACGTAATAACTTGAAACTTTTTAAAAAAGTGGTGGTTATGGTGAAAAGTGACGTTTCAATTACTTTTGTCTCAAGAAACCAAGCAATATATTTATTTTTACTTTTTGAAAGCCCTCGTTAGTAAAAGTCAACAATTTCCAGTAATACTTTTTGTACAGCGCATATTTGTTTACTTTGCTGTTAAAACGTTTATCTATCATTAATGAAGAATATGTAAAATTATTTTTGCATTTCATTAATTTTCGATAAAAACTGCTTTACTGGTGTGAGCAAAAACGTTGATTAGTACGGATTTTATTAAAAAAAATTTCGGCTTTTAAATTTAAATTTTTTTTTAAAAATATATATGTTTTTTACCAACCGACTATTTATATACCGGTTATATATATATATCTTTCATATCAGCCAGCCAATTTATGGCCGGTTGGATTTGTTCATAAGAAACCGAGAAAAGTTTATTTCTTATGTATCAAATTTAGAAAAGACATTTCTTAAAATTCATTAATATTTAACAACATTATTTATAGACTTTTTAAAATTATTTTCTACCTGTTCTAAGATTTTTTATTTGTTTACTAGAACTTTAGGAAATGTACTTACAGTGCGCTTAAAAATATAAATATAAATAAGTGCAGACGATATTTTAGTTATGAAATCAGACACAAAAACGGACTTTCTATGAATAAACATACTTGTGTTTCAATGGATTCAGATTTCTGATCAACAAAATGTAGGTTTTGGTAAAAGTAAGTTCTAATAAATATATATTATTTTTTATTATTTTATTTAATAGTAGTTTAAATGCAGTTTGAATTGTAGGGTATGCAATTTCTTATAGCATTTCAAAAAATGTAATTTTACATAAAAAAACAAGATATATCAAATATCAGTCAATTAGCTCCTCAGAAGTTGTATTTTTTAAATTCGATTTCTTCTCGATTTCTAATTTTTTAAATTCGACCTATTTCGCTTAGAACTCGTATTTTTCCATGTATAATTAAATTTTTTATAATGATCTAAAAAGTTGTATATCTTGCAATTCAAATTTTTTTTCGAATATTATGAAATAAAATAATAAAAAATAATGAATTATTCTTAATTTTTTTTGGACAGAACTATCTCAGGATAAACGAATTTTAAAATTGTGTGAAAAAAATTTTCATTTCTCGAAAGAAATTCCCGAGGTAAGGTGAAATACACAAAAAATAAAATTAACAATTAAGAGGTCTAAACTTTAAATCTCTCTAAGGTCCAAATTATGGGCTTTTTCCCAGATTGCGGAGAAGCCTTTATTTTGGGGCTCAGAAATCCAAATCCGTTGAAAAAAAGGCATATTTATTCCGAGGAAATACATTTATGTGTCTGATTTTTTTTTAAAAATATCGTCTTCACTAAATTATTATCATATTTGAGGTCATTAGGATTGAGTTCTAGAACGTGAGGTTTTGATCATTAGACAAAAAGTTATTCAGAGTGGCCCATTTTTTTTAGCGCACTGTACATAACTTTTGAGATGAGACAAAAGATAATGTAAAATACATCATGAAAACTTTAATATTAAATAATTTATGATTTCTTTTAATGCAAGTTTTTGTTGCAATTATGATGCAGTTATATATATAAACCTAATAATAAATAATCTTAATATCATGTTGCAATCATAATCATATTCTGTTGCATAAGCTGCGTATTTGCTAATCAATAAGCTCTCTATTTGGATTTTTTTTATTAAATCTTTATTAGCCGTGTTTTCTTACCGGTAATTATGAGGCTGATAAGCAAATAAATAGCCAAAGCAATATTTGAATACACTTGGCCAAAGTTTTCCAGTAGACTTGATGTAATTGTGGTCAATATAAATCCAAATATCTAAAAATAATTTAAAAATGCACTTCAGGTTAATGCGTTTGAAAAGAAAATATGAATAAAAAGAATAAGAGTTCTTAACAAGAGAGTAATTAATTAATACAATTTCGTCTAGAGAATATTTTTTAATTGAGAAAAAAAGTTCAGTTAACAAGTTATCTTTTGGTTTTAATCTTACCATTTTTATTGTACAGCATTAAGTTGAAGTTTATTTTAGACTAGTATAGCTTAGTGAAAAAATAAGGATTTTATTTAAAGGGCTCATTACTTTATTGCACCATGAAATTCGCAGATTTTTCCAAAATTAATTTTAGAAACTATCCGAACTGAAATCATGATCCGTTATCAAAATTTGCGTTACGCGTGAAGCTTTGTATTGTTTAAATTATTAGATTTTTATAAATAAGTTTAATAATCTACAAAGACATAATTTAGCCAAGATTTAAATTTTCAAAAGAATATTCGAATTTTCTTGCGAAAGTTCGTACGAAGCTCGAATTTTTGTTTTATGAAAAGAGTTAAAGATAAAAAGGAATATGTATGCCAGTTATGAACACAGAATTTTGGGGTGAGGTGATTGCATAAAATTATCAATTAAAAAATTTAACAAAAAAATTATTTATTAATAAATTTAAACAATCATAACCAACAATTGATATTTACAACGATAATACATAATAGGTATGGGATTAAGAAATGAGGTCCTATTACGTCGTCAACAAACTTCCTCTTAGTATTAAACTAATATATACCTTTAGATGTTGAGTCTGACTCCAGTCTTAGCCGGAGAGTACGATGGTCGGCACCAAACTATGGCAAAATTAAAACCAGTTTGATTGGCCTAATGGAAAATGTCTCTTAAGATCAGTTTTCATCTTTGCTACGTTTCTTCTGACATTTAAACAGATTTTGATGCTTTCAATCAGATTTTCTTCAATAGTGGTTCGTTAGATTTCGATAAGTTTCGTTAGATAACTTACAACTCACATGGTGCACAATTTTTCAACTTCTATTTCGACAAAAACTTGAAGAAAAGAAAATAATTAGTCAAGCTGTACTCACTTAATTCTGAAAGCAACAGGTGGTGTTGGCAATTGGTTGTCATGATTTGATTGATTGATTTGGTTTTCATTGGTTGATTTGATTTGGTTTACATTTGAAAAAAAGGTAAAACCTTTCATTCTCAATCATCCTTAAATCTTCTTTCTTGTTAGTCTTATTTATTAATAATCTAATCCTTTGCTAATTTGTTAAGACACTCACCATTGTAGCTGAGTTAAGCAATGATGCACTGATTACTTCGGGTTCTGGAAATGTTAATTCAATTCCATATTCTAAACCAACTGGTAGAAAACTGGTCAGGAAAAATCTAAAGCAAATCGTAAATAATATTTTATACATTTAGTTTTTAGTACACATTCTTTAATTATTATATTATACATCTATTTATAAAATAAATTAATTACAGGAATAATAAAAAAAATAACTATTTTTGTGACAACATTCAAAATGTGTATGTGAAAAACATTCAAGTTTTAATAAAAGTGCATGTAAAGAATAATAATGAAAAGATATAAAGAGTAAATGACGTTATTACTAAAATATTTTTTACATTGGGTAAAAAGGATTTTCATATTGATGCCTTAAAGGAAGGCTTTTTCACGAATTTCATCTATCTAAACCGTTAGCTACCGTTATTGATTGAAATTACTTAAATTCTATTAAAACCTTTGTTATTTAATTTTCATTAGTCTTATCAGCTTAATTCCTAATTTTTAAATTATTAATAATACTTTGCGAAATGTGTCTTTAAAATCTATTTATACTATCAAAACTCTTTTCGAATAAAAAAAGGCTTTTTTTATGAATAAAAATAGGTTCAAAAGTAGAAAAATAGGCTTTTCTCCTACCTATACTGGTCAATGTTTCAAATGTTTAAATTGTTTAGATTTCAATAAAACATGCTTTTTTAAGATTTTAGCTTGTTTTATTATCAAGCATCCCTAAATTTTTTTAATTATTATTTATCAGTTTAAACAGTAGATCTAGAGAATGTTGTAAATTTGTTTTATTTTCATACCATATCATAAGTGAATTATTTGTTTTCATATCATATCATATCATATTACATCACCTTACCATGTATCGTATTATATTATACTGTATTGCATTATGCTGTATTGTATCGTATTGTGTCATATTGTATCGTATTGTATTGAATCATATCATATAATATTTTTTGTAAAAGAAATCAAAATAACTTTTGTTGTAGCTTTTCCTGAAATTTTTTTTACAATTTTTATTACTTATGAAAAACTATTGCAGTTATTGGCATTATGATAATGTAAGCTTTCGTTAAAAATAAATATAGCCTTATAGATTTTCAAATATTTTGCACTAAATTTATTGCATTTATAAAAATTTTCAAACTAGAAAAGAAGTTGAAAAGTTAATTCTTACCCACATATTATGATAGTAAGAAACGTCACCCAGAGTTGTTTGATGGCTAGTAGAGAACAAAAAATAATCAAAGTAATCAAGCTAGCGACGCAAATGCATAAAGCTGTTTCTCTAAAATACAAGTAGAAAAGCAGATACAGTATTTAAATAAATACAGATAGACAAACACACACATTTTAATTATCGAAAAAAATTTCTACAAATAGTAGCGTTTATGTGATCATTGTTTCCCTCATTTTTAAATCTACATTCTCTGCAAAAGTCATAATTTGTAGTCAGTTTTATATCAGATCATTCAGATGAAGAATTTTTAAAGAAAAGTTTTTAAACTAAAAACTAGGATCTTCGATGGCTCAAAGGTTAAGATGCTGAACTATTTTTGTGAAGAGCTAGAGTTCTGTCCTTGGCGACCGTTTGGAGCCCTCAAAACGTCAACTGGATGGGTATAAGTCCCTATCGATCGTTTGGAGCCCTCCACATTTCAGCATGTACTTGGTGGGTCTTAGAGGAGTCGGGAATCGAACCTCAGGCACTCCAAGCCGGAGTCCGGAACCATTAGGCTACTACGGCCTTGATGGCTCGATATTACGATCTCTCAAATCGAAGCATTGTTCAACATTAGATTGCCTTATTCAGGAGATAGTAATTTTGGTGGACATCTTGGTTCAACAATTTGCCTAAGAATGCTTACAGAAATGCAGCTACTTGTATTTTCCTAACTGAATAAAACAGAAGATTAAATTACATCAGCAGCAGAGACATTGGTCATTTTTTTTGCATTAAATTACACAACTATTTTAGCAAAAGATAATTTCAATTTACTTTTATGCTAAATACATTTTTGCATCTATGTAAATAATTTATTTGAATTCATAACCTGTTAACTTACTTAAATTTATGGGTATAATCAAGAATAGTTCCGGCAATCATTGACCCTATGAGTCCTGCAACAATAAAAAGTGAACCCATCCAACCAATTTCAAGTTCTCGATGCTAAAATGTAAATAGAAATGTTAATTTTTGAACACCTAGAAAAACAATATGGTCAACACTATCAGAATATGGTAAAATTTACCGCATTTCTGGCTCTATGGGAACACACAAGAACTTTGATAATGATTTTGGTAAAGATAACGATAAAATATAATTTAATAGTTAGCGATAAAATCTACTGAATGTAGTTAAATCCTATAACTTTATCACGATATCTTAGAGCATGACATAAAAACCAATTAATCGGTGACTTTGCAGTTTTGCAATTTTTATTAAATGTGTTGTAATAAGAGCTAATAATTTTGAAAACTAAAATTTCTGCTAAACCTTTACTATATGAAAAGAAAAATAACCAAATGAATAGTTTAAATCGTAAATTAGAATGCTGGTTTTATTAACAAAAATTTTATTTTATTTATTATTTTTTTATCCGAAAGATAATTACCATACAGTACGGTAATTTTACTAGGATAGTTCTTCTCAGTGTAGATATCACTTAGTCATTTAAATAGTTAACGAAGTGAATTTCAATTGAGGTTAAAATAAAACATTTTGTACAAACACTATGTATCTATAGTATACTTTAGATATAAATGCAGAGTTAATTTTCCACTAACAAATATATGCAGGGTGTTCCGTAAAAACTGCTTTTAATATGTAATTCTAGAATCCTTATGAATATTGAAGCAAAAAATTATACGTAAGAGAAAAGCGAATTACTATTTAACCAAATAGTCGAAAACCAATTATTGGTAGCACTTTCAAGTTTCAACCTCCAATTAAACATGTTTTGATGTTTATTACTTTCATATTCCTCCACTTCAATTTGTTTAGGAAAATTTGCGATAGAGAAGCCTATGGTAATCTATGGCAACCTATGGCTACCATAGAAATTTGTATGGAAAGATACCATACGCCTATGGTTACCATAGAGATTTGTATGGCCCTACCCCATAAGCCTATGGCTACCATAGAAATTTGTATGGCAAGATACCATAGACCAATGGTAACCATAGAGACCTGTATGACATTTATATGGCACGTCACCATTCTCCTATGGCAACCATAGAAATTTGTATGGCAGTATACCATAGGCCAATGGAAACCATAAAGATTTGCATGGCAGTATACCATAGGCCAATGGTAACCATAAAGATTTGTATGGCAGTGTAAGGTTCGCATAAGTTTAATTTTATTACAGCAGAGAATAGTTTAACTTTCATATAAAAAGGTGGCAACATTCAGATATGTAAATAGAACGCTTCGCAAAAACATATCTCGCTGTTATTATTTTTCATTAAATGCTTTTATAAAATATCTCTTCGCTTATTTACTGTATTGCATATTAATTAAATTCCTTGTCATTCAACTTTATCTTATATGGCGCAGCCGTCTTTTTAAAAAAGAACCTTTTCACAACTTCTTCTTTGAACATCGATCTTCTTTTATCGCTACATTTTAAATTCTTTCCATGAAATTTTGACTGCCAACGAAGCAAAAAAGTATTCATCATTGGCTGAAACTCGCCCAGGTAAACCCATTTTGACAAAAAATAACATTTAACCGAAAAAAATTTGATAATTGGATTCCATTACATACTGATTTCTTCTCGCCAAACATACGTCGCCAAAACAGATTCGCTGCACTTTTCTCGCCAAGATGTCAACAGACGTGAATTCTGTTTTGAATGCCTTGAATGCGTGGAACGACTGATTCATTTAACTGTCGCCCAGTTAAAATCAGCCTTGCGTTTAAGAAATCTTTCGCCCAATGGAAATAAAAATGACTTAATATCGCGTATAGTTAATGATAATATAAAAATAACAGATGATAGAACTTTAGATGAACTTTTAACTCTTCGCATGCAATCGCCAAATAATGACAACAATACACAATATTCCGAAGAAAATTGCTTCGATAACTCAGAATTNAAGCTGTTTCTCTAAAATACAAGTAGAAAAACAGATGCAGTATTTAAATAAATACAGATAGACAAACACACACACATTTTAGTTATCGAAAAAAATTTCTACAAATAGTAGCGTTTATGTGATCATTGTTTTCCTCATTTTTAAATCAACATTATCTGCAAAAGTCATTATTTGTAGTCAGTTTTATATCAGATCATTCAGATGAAGAATTTTTAAAGAAAAGTTTTTAAACTAAAAACTAGGATCTTCGATGGCTCAAAGGTTAAGATGCTGAACTATTTTTGTGAAGAGCTAGAGTTCTGTCCTTGGCGACCGTTTGGAGCCCTCAAAACGTCAACTGGATGGGTATAAGTCCCTATCGATCGTTTGGAGCCCTCCACATTTCAGCATGTACTTGGTGGGTCTTAGAGGAGTCGGGAATCGAACCCCAGACCCTCCAAGCCGGAGTCCGGAACCATTAGGCTACTACGGCCTTGATGGCTCGATATTACGGTCTCTCAAATAGAAGCATTGTTCAACATTAGATTGCCTTATTCAGGGGATAGTAATTTTGGTGGACATCTTGGTTCAACAATTTGCCTCAGAATGCTTTTCAAGATTAACTCAGAAATGCAACTACTTGTATTTTCCTAACTGAATAAAACAGAAGATTAAATTACATCAGCAACAGAAACAATGGTTATTTTTTGCATAAAATTAGATAACTATTTAAGCACAAGAAAATTTTAATTTATTTTCATGCTAAATACATTTTTGCATTCATGTAAATTATTTATTTAAATTCATAACCTGTTAACTTACTTAAATTTATGGGTATAATCAAGAATAGTTCCGGCAATCATTGACCCTATGAGTCCTGCGACAATAAAAAGTGACCCCATCCAACCAATTTCAAGTTCTCGATGCTAAAAGATAAATAGAAATGTTAATTTCGAAACACAGCGAAAAACAATATGGTCAACACTATCAGAATATGGTAAAATTTACCGCGTTTCTTTCTCTATGGGAACACCGCAAGAACTTTGATGATGATTTTGGTAAAGATAACGATAAAATATAATTTAATAGTAAGCGACAAAATCTACTAAATGGAGTTAAATCCTATAACTTTATCACGATATCTTAGAGCATGACATAAAAACCAATTATTCGGTGACTTTGCAGTTTTGTATTCCTTAATAAATGAGTGTGGTAATAAGAGCTAATAATTTAGAAAACTAGAATTTCTGGTAAAAATTTACCATAGGAAAAGAAAAAAAAACAAATGAATGTTTTTAGAACCGTAGATTGGAATACTGACTTTAGTGACAAAAATTATATTTTATTTATTTATTTTTCTTACCAGAAATGTAATTATCACTCAGTACGGTAATTTTACTAGGATTGTTTTTCTTCGTGCAGATATCACTTAGTCATTTAAATAGTTTACGTAGCGAATTTCAAAGCAATGTTAAAATAAAACATTTTGTACAAACACTATGTATCTATAGTATGCTTTAGATATAAATGCAGAGTTAATTTTCCACTAACAAATATATGTAGGGTGTGCCGTAAAAACTGCTTTTAATATGCAATTCTAGAATCCTTATGAATACTAAAGCAAAAAATTATACATAAGTGAGAAGCGAATTACCATTTAACCAAATTGTCAAAAACTAATTATTTGAAGCACTTTCAAGTTTCAACCTCCAATTAAGCATGTTTTGATGTTTATTACTTTCACATTCCTCTACCTGCAATTTGTCAGATTTTAATCACGTTTTGTTTTTTCTCGTTTAAATATTAATTTGTGATTCTCTTTCGCATACTTTTTTATTTTCATTTTTGACAAAATTTCTAAAAACGAATGTTAAAGGTGGTCTTTAAGAAACAATCGGTAAACATTTCAATACAAGCTACGGGAAGGATAGCCCGAAAAATATGAAGATAAACTTTTAATACGAAGATCAATCTTATAAAAATTTGCATTGATCTTAAGCAATGCAGCTTTAAAAACCACTACGGCATGATAATACCTGCTGCATAACTTGAAACTTAGTGTGAATTTTTCTAAGCGATATTCCTAAAGTCGTAAGACCAATTTCTCATTGAGAAAAGACTAATTTAAAATAGTTATGCTTTGTCAAAACAAAAGGCATAAAAGCATTAACAGTAATTAAAAAGTTCCATGAAATTCGAATTTATTTAGTACATGAAACTCAACAAACTAGAAAAACTGTTAAGAAAAAGCAATTTTCACTTTGTATTTTTATAAAAATTATAAAATTAAACTACAATTTTTCTTTTCTTCTTAAAATATTCATAAACTATTACTAAAAACTAACTTCAAAAACTTACAGGAAAATATCGCAGAACTAAATTGTTTAATACAGTAGTGATAGCAAAACAGGTTCCAACCATTAGTCCTGAAAGAAAAAAGAATACAATTGGAATGAATTTATAAAAACTATCTCATTTTAAAACTGGCTTACTTTTACATTAATTAAACAATTTAGTGAAGTTGTGCGAAACAATTGAAAAATTTATTGACATTTTTAATCATGTATCTTTGTCATTGATATGAATTTCGACTTAAACTTTTAGAACAAGGTTTTAGAAGGCGTTGGGTAAACTGGCCTACTTTATGAATATATAAGCAAAACAAAAATGATTTCTGAAATTTTGAAATGTGTACCTTGATTTTTTTATTCTATTCTCGTAGCATTTTTTATTATAATACTTATTTTTATTCTTTTGCATTTAAAATATCTAAATATATATCTCGTTAATTCTTCGGAGACCTGCAAATACCTAACTAATATGTTTTTAGATTGATAAATGAAATGTATTTACTTATCAACTAAGCAATGAGATTTAAACTGCAATAAGTAAATAAATGAGCAAATAAAGAAACAAATAAATAAATGAATAAAAATTACTATTTACCATAAATCACAAAGAGCATAATAAAGTTCAGACTTTTGAACATTCCAATCACTGTTTTGAGGTGTGAATGTGTCACTTGTTTTTTTACCTGATGCAGATTGGGTGGATATTTAGGTGAGTCCTGGAATGCTGTAAATGTATTGGAAAATTCTTTCTACACATGAAAGTTACCTTAAGAATGAAATATATATATATATATATATATATATAACTGATAACTAAATAACTGATTCTGGTAGAATGGTAGAAATGGTAGAAATCACACAAATCTCGGTGCGCTGCGGCGAAGTGGCATTAACCGATTCATCTGTAGTAATAAATCGATGATGAGAAGTAGTGAGGAGGAATGGAGATGGGAAGAAGAGGGGGTGCTTATCACCAAAAAATCTAGAGGGGATTCATGTGAGTCGGCTGGGGCTGAGTGTATATCGTGTGCTAGGGCAACATCATATCCCTAAGGAAAAAGGCAGGGATGGGTCTAAATTTAGTGTTGTCGTCAATTAGTTCTATATCTAGGAGTGAGTTAAAATTGCTGGTGGTACAGGTTTTTGCTTCATCGTAGAAATTTTTATTTAAATTTTTTACATAGATCCCTTTTTATACTATTATTGCTAATGCATTTCGGTGCGCCGACGAGTCTTCTAATAATCTTCCCTTCTGCCATAGAGAGTTTATTTTTTAAATGATCACTTAGAGATAACTGATTCTGAAATAGCACAATCTTCTTATAAATTTCAGTTAAGTATTTATGGTGGTAAATTCTTTTCTACTCTGTAGTAAGCTGGCACTCTAGATGGGGCACTTCATACATATTTTTTATTGACTTAATCTCAAAATTTCTGTTTTCTGATTTGTGTCACTTTTTTTTGACGGGTTGCGATATATATTTGGAATCGGAGAATTATTGGGAACCATAACGAAAATGAAACAAAACTTTTTCCTGTAGTTCGTTTGTCTAAAAATAATTCCTTCAAAAATAATTTTTAATAATAATTATTCTTTCTTATCATTGTATTTAATAATAATTACAAAATAGTAATAGTAGTACTTTACGTTGCAGTAGAGTTTCACAATGGGCTATTGGAGATGGTCTGGGGAAGAAATCTGAAAGTGATCCGAAGACACGCTATCACAATTTTGATCCTTTGCTATGGGAAGATCTTCCCCTAATTGGTATTTCGACTATGTGTGCAAGAAGTCAGGCACTTTTCTGTAGAGCAATTTAAAGAAAACCGATACTGCACGCATTCAGAGGTTAATCTAAATGGTCACCAACCCTCTCTGTAACCGTAACCACTTACGCTTGACTTCGATTATCTTCAAAAAACCTTGTCTTACGATTATTCCACTAGAAAAAGCTTTTAATCGTAAGGTATTTTGCCAATTTTTACATCATTTCAAAACATGCAATTTTAAATAACAAAGTACAAAATTTGAACGTAATTGATCGAATAATTCTTGAGAAATTAAACTTTAAAATTTCCTTTCGTATTTTTAAAGTTTTAAAACTTCAGCGTTAAAAACGTTGTTCGCAACTAAAACATAATTTTAAAACTTCATCACTCCAAAACTATTCGACTAATTCCGCTCAAATTTTGCATTTGAGATTACACACTTTAAAATGGTATAAAAATTTGCCACATTTTAATTCAATCTCGCTATTAAATGTGATTTTGTTCAACATATCTACGTGTTATTAGCTATATTACTTGTTATATGTTAGTAGCATTTCATCCTTCTTTTTTGTGCTTAAACATTATGTTTTTAACTTTTATTATCCAAAAAAAGCAAATTTTCAATAAGAGATGTTAAGTTAAAACTACTTACTGAAGACTACTAAAAAAAGCCAAAAAACATTGACGGATGTAAGAATAGTGGTAATTGTAGTTTTTTCTTCCTGTATCAAAGCTTTATCTGAACAATTGTTAGAAGTCATCAAGGGAGAAAATAGACAGCCGGCAGCAACACCCAACTAAAAAAAGAAAAACAAACAGTGATTGTATTTATATACAGAAAAACTTTATATACAGAAAAACTGATTGATGTACTTTTGTAGAACAGTGAAACAGCCATTTTGGTGAAGGGCCATGTTGGAGGAAAGTTAGCGTTCTAGCATATTGACTTATAACAGACGTCAAGTCATATTTAACTTTTCAACTGAAATTTCTTTTTTTGGTTGATACCAGTTGAAGATCTGATTAGATAAAGGTTCTACAGTGAACTTGAGTTTATTTCAATTTAGAAATCGATTTCGGCTTTATTTTAATGAGTTTGAGTAATTAGCTTTGGAGTTAATTACTTGAGTAAATGAGGATTACGAGTTGCCTCAATTTCCACTGAACATAAACTATAAAAAATTCTGGTAAAATTACCGCACTGTATGGTAATGCCCTTTCTGGTAAAAAATCAATAATTCTGGTATTAAAATCCAAAACATGCGGCATTTAAACCATCAACATTGTAATTTTTACCTCCTATATGATACGACTTACCCTGTGCCTTAAATTCGCTTGTTTTCACCAGGAACTAGAATTATCCGGAATTTTCGGGAAAATAACAATTTCACCAGAATTTTCCGGGAAAATAAAAAATCCAAGAAATTTTATTTATTTATTTAATTTGATGCAGCTAGATTATGCCAGCTACCGAGCTTTGCATTTCTCTTTTGAAGTAAAAGCCTGTTTGAAAATTTTGGCTAAATCAATAAAATTTTATAAACTATTCAAATCACTATTAGGCTGGAGATGGCTAATAATACAGTATTTTACATGTGCATTTTTTATGTTTTTTTCTTAGTAAATTAAATTTAATGAATTAAATTTAGTTTTATATGGGAGAAAAAAAATTCTCTTCTTTAAGATATTTAGCTAGATATAAATTTAGGAGTAAATACCGTCAGTGGCGAAGCGTGTAGAAAAAAAATTTCTTTTTCAGATTCGTTTTTCATTCTGGTTTCTAGTCTGAATTAAAGTGGGAACAAAATGGAAAACATGTGAATAAATAAGTAAGAGAGATGGAATGTGTGCGTGCGTGCGTGCGTGAGAGAGAGAGAGAGAGAGAGAGAGAGAGAGAGAGAGAGAGAGAGAGAGAGAGAGAGAGAGAGAGAGAGAGAGAGAGAGAGATTTTTTTAAAATAAACATTAACAAAAATTTTTCATGTAAATATGTAACAGTATTATGATACAATACAATTTATAGGAGTTGAATTGTTCAGTATAACTTTGTAGTAATTTTTAAATTGATTAGTTGTATGGAGCTCTTAAGTTTTTTGTCAGTTTTCCATAAGGTTAATTTTCAAGTTATTTCAAGCAATGTTATGTAACAGGGGTGGCCAAGCTCCTTGATAGTCGAGCCATTTTTCAAAATTTGAAATTTCTCGCGAGCCTCAATTAAATACGTATTTAAAAGCTATGAAAAANCTTGAAAAAAAAAAAAATTCATGCCTTTTTTGCCAAGCTTTTAAATAATAAAATTTACTGAAATTACATTTATTGAAAACATATGAATAAAAGTACAAATTATGTGAATTGAATTTAAATATTAAAAGTTAAACACATTTATTTTTCTTCTCTTGATAATTCTTTAAAATTTGGTGAATAATTGTTTCAATAAAGTGTTTCACATAAGTACGTTGTTCCGAATATTGAAATAATTTGACAAGCATCCTTTTTTAATTCAGGATACTTCGATTCTGGTACAAATTTCAAAAATTATGTAATCGACGTCGACTTATGTCATTTGAAAGTTCATAGTCCTTTAATTCTTTAAGAAAATTTTTGAATTGTCGATGATTTTTCACATTGGTGCGAAAGTAATTTGCAATGTGTAACACCGTTTTCATAACATCAGGATATTTTAAATATTCTGTACCAATTTTCTTTACCCAGCATTGCCGGAGCTACATCAGTTGCAATGCTTACAAGATTATTAAGAGGCACATAAAAAGTTTTTATTATGGAATCTAATGCATTTTTAATGTCGACACCGTTGGTTGACTCTTGAAGTGCTACTAAATTTAATAATTCAACTTAAACAACGAAGTCAAGTGAAGTAAAACGTATGAAAACTGCAAATTGCGGAAGATCTGTGATATCTGTCGATCCGTCAAGGAACGATAATAATTTTTTACAAATATAATAGCAGAAAAAGGAACAGGGAACTCGGTTACATTTTTCGAGAGCTGCAAATAATCCTTGAAAGAGCCGTAGGTTGGCCATCCCTGTTGTATAACATCGATAAGATGTCGTTTATTAAATTATTAGTGAAGTTGAGCATGAAATTAATTACCATATAAAGTTAACTGACATTTATTTCTCGAATCTACTAATTTAAAATGTTATCAAGTAATTTTGTTTAAAGTTTTCAAACAATAATTATAATGTGCGAGAAATGTTTCTCAAGAATTTATAACTATATTTAACATATGTCTCAACTTCCTTAGAATAGTAAACGCTAACACATGGTTTGAGGTCCAGAAGCACTATTCACTAAAATATTAAAATAAAAAAATCAAATTAATATAAAATTTAATTGGAGCATCTCTGGAATTTGCTCATTTTAAGAAATTAATGTCATGTGATTTAAGGTGTTTACATGAAGTTTGTGTAAATTTACGAAATTCATGTAATTTATTTTTTGCAATAGTATATGATAGCATTTAACACGAAATGATACAGAATTAGTAAGGTTAATTTTAATTATGGTCTGAGTTTAAGAAACATTATGCCCGGAAATAATAAAATTGAGAGCTATGAAAAAATAGAATAAAATAGGTAAAATCTTGTTTTTAAATGGACGTAGAGGAGTAATCCATTTTTTTTCATACCTTAAAAAAACTAGAGTAATTTTATTGAAGTTTCCATTTATGCACATGAAATTTCCTAACGTTTTCCATTTTAGATATGTTAATAATATTATTTTAAACTTTTTTGTTCAATTAAAAAACGAGTTTTTTTAAAAATGTTTTATTACATTCTTCATTTTAGTTTATGTCGGAAAGAGATCGAAATTATGATTAGAAATAAATTCTATCGGGCTGGTTAAGGGCAATACATTTCGCTTATACTTCTTAGAAAACAATTAGAATGTGAAAAGTCCTCCAACTCAGATCTTTAGTTGAAGTTTGAGCACTCCAGCTGCTACGAAAGTGGTTAAAATTTTGATTACAAGTTTTGCATTTTACACTGCAAAAGCCTAGAGTTACGGTTAAGTATGGTATTAAAATAAGACATTTTAATAGAGATGTCTAAGATGACGCCATTTCACTCATCTGTCCTCTGAAAATTCATCAATGATCAATCAGTTATAAATGTAACTAACAGGGTTACGTTTGTATTGGGATCAGAATACGAATTGTTCAACGGGATTAAGGCAAACGGAAATTGATGGCATTGATGGTGAAGTACTGATCGAGTTCAGCTTCTGACTTGCACAACTTAGTAAGTTTCGTTTTGAAACTTTAAATAGTTAGCCCAAATTTTAGATATTATAACAGCAAAAAATAGATCATAAAAAATGGAGAATTAATTATTGTAAGGTACCTGATTCCCAAATACTCCAGCAGCACATGCTCTAGAAAGCTCATTTGCTGGGAACCATGTCGCTGCTAAGAATGGAGGAACAGATAACACTAAGAGATTAGACATGGATCCAAATATTGTACTGACTAAAATGTAAGCAAAATTTTCAGGTGATAGTCCCGTGAACTGTATAGCACAGGCTGAAATGAAAACGACTATAAAGTTTACAATTGAAAGAGAAATGTATTCTTGTTATTACAGAAGCAAATGCAATTTTGATTTGAGGTGATGAATATTCAAATCCGAACTAAACCTAGAAGATAATACTGGGACTTATAGATTAAGTGCTGGAAAAATAAAAATCTCTTCTCTATGGAAGTTGTTTTGATGTAACTAACCAGCATTCGGGTAACATGGAGAGGAAGAACTTCCTACGATTAGCACAATGTCATGGACATTCTATCCCATAATCTGCTTACAGTTGGAAATATTTTAAATGAGTTCAGAGATCTGTGCGAGCCGTGAGATGTTTCCGAATTAACCAGATATCGCAAGAACTATATTCTATAACAAATAGTCTTTAATTACATATTAACTAATTATAATTTGTGATTTTTAGCAACTAAAATAAGTGGGCATATATTTGTATTTGTCCCGGTACTTTAAAATTTCTTCTGACAATACACAAAAATACACTTACCTGCAGTATTGCTCAACGCTCCAGCTATCACCGTCCATCTCAGACCTACATAATTCATGCAGTACGAGACAGGAAATACAAAAACCACATAACCAATAAAGAAAATATTAGCAGTCCAATTCAGTGTGCTTGTTGATATGTCATAGTAACAAATGTTCACATCTGCAATGGACACATATTGAGGAAATATCATTCCACACAGCACTGAAAGGAAACTGAAAAGAAACAGCATCCAGTAGCGTCTTCTGTAAACTTTTATTACAGGCTCTTCTTGTTTCGAATGAGGATTTGTTCCATTAGTAAGGGTCACTGTTGAGATCGACAAGTCACAGGAATTTTTCCTTTCAATCATTTTGATTGAAAAAATTATAGTCTTTCTTACTTCCGATAGCTGTGACTAATGTATCTTTGTAATTTCAGTTTTATCTAAAATGAAAGAAACACCATGTTTATATGTAAAACATAATATAGGATGAGTAAAAAGTTATACAATTTTATTTTGCGGAGCCAGGGAAAAAGGAATAACTGCGTCGAATAAGTTGAAAAAAAAAAATAAAATGTAATGAGAAATTAAAATAAGGGTTGCAATGCAGTTCCATCTCATTGTGGTGTACCCCGTGCCACGATATAACGGCAAAGTGAACTTTAATTTCGTTATGCAATCTTCTGTTCTTTTCATCCCGAATGTAATACTATAATTCGAATAAATGTCAATATTTGGATTTTAGTTTCGTGGAATACGGGTGGTTCACCCCAGGTTAAGAAGACTGATTATCAGGGAAATCTCATAAATTTGATATTGATGTCTGTACCATCGTAAAGGCAAATCTTACAGTTGAAAAATTAAAATGTTTCCCTTTGTTAGGGTATATTGCCTATCTTTCCTATGAAAACTCAGACGATTTTCCAGTGAAATTCTCAGACGAATTTGTTGCAGTGCCGACCGGACTGTAAAAGGGTCAGGGAACTGGCCTTGCATCGGAAAGTTTCTGGGTTTGAATCCCGGGCAATATGGAACCTAATATGGTGCCCCTGAAAGAGTGGTCAACAAATCTGCTTTTCAGATGCCTGTCAGGTCATTCCCCAGGTGAGCATAAGAGAAAAAAAAATCTTAGTTGGATTTAAATGAAAACTCACATGAATTCCCAGTGGTATCTTAGTTGGAGAGCCAACCGGACTGTGTAGGGGTCAGGGAACTAGCCTTGCATCAGGAAGGTTCTGGGTTCGAATCCCGGGCAAGACTTGAATGTTCTTTCATTCTCTGCTCTATCTGTCCTTACTGTGAGAGCAACGGTGGCTCTCTTGATATGGTGCCCATGTAAGAGTGTCCAACCAATTTGCACTTCAGATGCCTGTATTGATGAAATTTCATTCCCCATTTGGGCATAGGAAAAAAATCTTACTTGGAGTTAAATGAGACCACACAGCCGATTTAGAGGTTGTTAAAACCATGAAGGAAACTATAGATAAGAGTGAAAAATTAAACTTAAGAAAAATAAATGCCTCGTTAGGATTTATGCCGTCCATATCCTTCCTGGTAACAAACTTGATCTATGAATCTTGACATCCATCAAACAACAATCTTAATTGGTGATTTTAATGGTCATTCAAAAAGATGGAACTACCAAGGTTTGAGTGCTGCTGGACAAGACCTTGAAGATATCCTTTATTTTACCCCTCTTGAACTTATACACTACCCTACAATAATGGAAGAGACATTCTACAGGCAAGAGTTTTTAATATTTTTTTTAATTTCTTAAGAAATAGTTTAAGAGGACTATTTAGTAATTTTAAAAGTTTTTAATTCATACTTTGCAGTAAAGTTCAAGGCTCTCAGAGGTTTGAGAGACCGACAATAAATTACGAAAGTAAACAAGTATTTTTGAACACCCTATACTAGAAAATTCAAGCAATAAACTTGTAACTTGTATCGATAACTTTGATTCTTATTAGCAACAACTTCATATTTGATCTAGATTAAATATTTATCGAGACATGAGCATTTTTAAAAATATCTAATATTTTGACTTATAATTTTTACTTTAACTTTTTGGAGAAATTTAAAATTAATTACAAAATTATTTTTCTTTTAAATTTCGCAAACAAAAATCAATTTCTGACTCATATGTCTCCGAATGTAGTTAATTGAATTTCGGTTGATTTTTTTATTTGATATTATTGACTAGAATCTTGAACTAAGGGGTTTTCCTTTTATAAAAAATTATCGTAATATTTTTAATAAAATATTCCATGATGTTACTAAATACCATATGTGGATGCTCCTTGATTTAGTTTGAAATCGGTTTCTTAAAATTGTTTTCGTATTTATACAGAAATTTACAATTCCTCATAGAGTTAATATAACGCAGAAAAATAGGACGCATGAATCTTTAAACAGTTTGAGAGATACTAATTGTATTAAACTGCATAATTCAATTTAATTTATAAGCAAATAAATATTTTTTCAAATTATAAAAATAATTAATAATTCATTCCAACGAAAGCAGTTACAGTTTGATTGATTTTAGATATAAAGAATTATCCATTAATATAAAATACATAATAGAAATTATTCTAATTATAACTAAAAATGCTAAACAGTATTGTAATTTCCTATTCATTTGATGTATATATACGCAAAGGAAAAAATGTCATTTAAAAGTTTCTGAGAACTACAAAAACTCGATATAAAGTAATAAAAATTTTGCCATTTAGTTGATTTTATACAATTGTAAAAAGATTTACAATGTCGTTAAGTGATCTATGAATTTTAAAGTTATAAATCACAAGCAAAGCTGTGAGCTAACATAAAATGAGCTTATGTCTCTCTGATATCATTAAAAGCTGATTTGTTAATTTTTTTTATCAATGTTTTAAACTAAAATCATTTAAAAAATTCGTGGAGAAATTTAAAATGATATATATAATGCACATAATTTTAATGATCGGAAACCAGATGATAAGGACATAGAATGTGAGAGAAAAAAAACTTACTTAACACCTTCCGAGTAATATCAGGCTTCATTTTCAGCAATATATGATTTTGTGTTACGTATTTTTTGTTCTTTTCCTTCTATAACATCCTAGACAAAACTCAGGAGAAGGAACAACAGCGAACAAAATATCGAGCAATATTTAAGGCATATTTATCTTCTTCAAGTAAAATTAATATGCTTTCTAGTTTTAGTGTTTTAGAAATAAAAATCATCGATTTCTTTACAGACATATGGAGTTAATAAATAAAAAAAATCATGTCGCTTAAAACAAGTATTCTGACTATTTTTCAAACAGTTGTTCATTTAGGCATAACATTGGGAAACAATAAATGGTGACATTTAACCTTGTAAAGGACCTACTACTTTTTATCAAATGTTTTTCAAAATGGGTTATTTAGAAAGTTTTTAATGTCTTCAGTAGGAAAAAAATTTAGCTACTAATTTATTTCGCTTATAATTTTCCATTTTAGCAACAAAAAAAATGAATCATTAAAATTTATCGTTTTAGTTTTTGGATTTTCAAACTTCCCTTAAAAGCACTGCAAAGCTTTGTTTGTATAATTCTTTTCCAAATGGTAGAACACGAAAAGTATAAAAGAACTGCTTTATAGAGAATTATAGATTGAAAAATTTCCAAATATGTATTTTTTTACAAAATAAGACTTACACAGCAAAGTTTTAAAGAATACACGAAAAGCTTTTGAGACCAGATACCATAGCTGAGTGTTATTTCATGTTAATACGTTCTATGCATTATCATCTTTTTTAATTCTCCTTTTTAATATATTCACTTCCTCGAAAAAAAAATTACGTAATCTTTGTGAAAATGCTAACTAAATTTGCTCTTATGTAGAGTCTGCAAAAAAAAAGATATCACTCTGAATAATTTTCATTCTAATGATCGAATTTTCACGTGCTAAGTGCCAATCTTAATGTTTTCTGGGAATGACTTCAAATATGCTGATTGTTTAGTGCTAACGATTAATTAAGTTACGAAATCGGACACAAAAACGTACTTTCTCCGAATAAACACATTTTTTTTACGTATTTGGATTCTTAATCTTCACAATATAGGGGGTAGCCGTAATCTGGGAAATGTGATCCAAATAGTTAGGTCAGGAGAGCCATTCAAAGTTTGGATCCCTTAATGCTAATTTCACTTTCTGCGTTTTTAGTCATATTTGAAAACTAACTAAGCAATTAAAAAAATTACATCTACTCATGAAACTCATTTACCCAAATATAATTTCATACAAAAAATTTTTTTTAATAATTAATTGCAATTCTTAATTATTTAATTAAATTGAGGATGAAAAAATTTTGAATTATAATGTATGAATTTTTTTTATACCATATTAATCTACATATTTTTCAATTTAAAAATATTAAGTTTCAACTGTTTTTATTTAGAGTAAGATGAGAAAAATTAAAATTAATTATTTTTAAAAAAATAATTTAGCGCAATGAAGAAATATTTAAATGGGGCGATTAATATTAAAATGTGATTAACTTACGAGGAACATGACTTCGCAAGCGTAGCGTA